CTACTCTCTCTCTCTCTCTCTCTCTATATATATATATATATATAGAGAGAGAGAGAGAGAGAGAGAGAGAGATCCTATCTCCTAGAACTGGAAGGGACCCTGAAAGGTCATCGAGTCCAGCCCCGTGCCTTCACTAGCAGGACCAAGTACTAATTTTGCCCCAGATCCCTAAGTGGCCCCCGCAAGGATTGAACTCACAACCCTGGGTTTAGCAGGCCAATGCTCAAACCACTGAGCAGGCAGTTAATTTATACATCTGTCTGTATCTCTCACACACACACACTTCCTCAATTATATCTTCCCTTATAGCTGCTGTGCGTATAGAAAAAAAAAAAAAAACTAGATAAGAGGATAGGTCCATCAATGGCTATTAGCCAGGATGAACAGGGATGGATGGTGTCCCTAGTCTCTGTTTGCCAGAAGCTGAGAATGAGTGACAGGGGATAGATCACTTGATGATTACCTGTTCTGTTCATTCCCTCCAGGGCACCTGGCATTGACCACTGTTGGAAGATACTAGGCAAGATGGACCTTTGGTCTGTCTGACCCAGTATGGCCTTTCTTATTTTCTTAGGGAATCCTCGTATCTATCACATACGTTACATCATCCCCAACACCTGGTGCTTATGTTGCCTCCCTCTCAGCTGATCCTTATGCCCCATCCCCACACCCCCAGGCATGTGGCATCTGACAGCAGAGATGCATGTTAGGTGTGCTCTCCTCACGCGGCAGCACTGCCAACCCCGGGGGCTCCCCCCAACTCCCATGGGACGGGCCCCTCTCTGCCAGCACTTACCGAATAGCGGGAGCTTGGGCTTGCCCGGGTCCGCGCGGGCGGAGTTCTCCTGCGGCTGCCGTGGGGACAGGAGGGAGCGCGCACCGCGGAAGGGGGGCAGCAGCAGCTCCGGCTCAGGGGGCTGCTGCGGCGGGGCCCGGGTGCCGCCGCTGCCCCCTGCAGGCTGCTGTCCGCACGGCGCGTACCCGCGCAGAGCCAGGCGCTCGGGGTCGCCGAGCCGGGAGAGCGGGTGCTGGATCACAGGCGGCAGCCGGGGCGAAGCGGTGCTGGGAGCCTGCGGGCGGCTGGAGGGCACCTCGCCGCGGGCAGCCATCCTGGCCGAAAGGAGACCAGACAAGAGAAGGCCGATCCGTGTCGGGCTGCTCACCAGCCTCCTCCCCGGCGCCAGGGGTTAAAGCCCCAACACAAACCACCAGAGGGCTGTACCTCGCTGGGTGCGGGGAGGGGAGCCCAACGTGCCCTCCCCTTCCCCTCGTTTAAAAGGCTGCGCTTGGGGAAAGTTTCCAGCCTCCCGTATCTGGGTCAGTAAATGCCTCTGCCCTGTGCTGAGAGCCCGGGGTGCTGCTGAGCCAAAGAAGCCCTGATAGTGCCCCGTGCTCGCCCTGGCCTTTCCTCCAGCAGCCCCAGACTGTTTGGAGCTGGTGGTGTTTCTCTTCTGGAACAAGGGGAGGTTGCTACAGGCAACAGAAAACGCCTGAATCCCTTTTCAACAACATTTCTGCCAGAGAGAGCCAGACGCACCACTGGGAGGTCCGGCTGCATTCCCAGCCCCGCGACAGAAGCCATGGGAGAAAGGGGCTCCCCTCCCCGCGCCTCCCCAGCTTAACCACTGGACTCTCCTCCCTACACAGCTACCGGAGGAGCGTTACCACCAAGAAACGGATTCTTGCATACTGCACGGAGCATGGTCTTGTGAGCATATGTGGGGCTCCCCTTTGTAACAGGCAGCCAGTCCCTTGGCACATGTATGGAAATTAAAATAAAATATAGACTTGAGCCACAGATATCAACCTGACTCCCATCCCCAGGATGCAGCTGTCTACAAATCCGGGACTAAAGTCTGAGTAAATAGATCTACCTTACACTGTATCCTGAAGGTCAATAAACTTGGACTCCCTCCGACCAACAAGGAGACAAAGTTGAGGCGCTTCAGCGGAGAGTGTCTAGCTCCCATACCTTCAAACCCAGGGACTGGAAAAATGCCCTAGGTGTCAGCTATCAGAGGAAAAGGGGCTGTCTATTAGATGGACAGGATAAACCATAGGGCTTTACAGAGATGAATATCAGGCCAACCCATCTTTAAATGCACCCAGAAGTGAACAGAAAGTCAATGCAGATCTTATAGACCTGGTATAATGTGTTCCATAGCCAACACCATCAAGTAAATAAGCAGCCATCTGCATTTTGCACCAGCTGCAGCTTCTAAGTGATCTACAAGGATAACTCTATGTAAAGCATATTACAGTAATCCAGTCCTGAGGTGACACAGGCATGGATAACTTATGAGGTGGACATCAGAAAACCAGGGTCATAATCATCTTCACAGATGCCTGTGGAAAGCCCCTCTGATCATATTGTGTGAGGATTCAGAATCAAAATTAATGATGTACACCAGGGGAATAAGAACAGGAGCATAAGCTTTCATGGGCTACAGCCCACTTCATCGGATGCATGTCCACAAAAGCTTATGCTCAAATAAATTTGTTAGTCTCTAAGGTGCCAGAAGTACTCCTGTTCTTTTTGCGGATACAGACTAATACGGCTGCTACTCTGAAAACTAAGGGAATATGAGTTTAAAAACTATGGCCTAGATCCAAGGAGGGATTTAGACTGCACACCTAATTTTTAGATACCTTGAAAGTCACTGGAATCCCAAAATCCTGAATTAAGCACCTAATCTCCCTATACAATGCATGAGGAGAGATAGATGCCTGAGAATGGGCTCCATAAAAAAAGCATGCTAGTGGGTAGCCAACTAAATTAGCCAATGGGAGATGCCAACTAGATGAGTGTATCCTAAACCCACCCCTCATACAGAGTTAGGCACCCAAGTCTGGGTTGCAGGGAGGTGCTAGCCTATCTCCACTAGCTCTCCACACCTCGGAACCCCTCTCCTAGACTCAGGTGCCTAAACTGTTTTTGCAAGAAATAGCAGAGAAGGTGGTACCTCCCTTATGACTTTTAGCCCAGTGGTTAACTCATTCACCCAGGAATGGGAGACCCAGGTTCAATTCCCCTACCTAAATGGAAGAAATTATTTTAAGAAGAGTCTCCCACTCTCAGGAGCATGTGCGAACCACAAGGCTATGGATATTCTGGTATGAGTATCTTTCAGTCTCTCCAGCTGAAGCTGTTCCATTGTGCATAAATACTTAAATAGTTACTGAGCCAGAGGGAGAGAGTGGATATGATTCCACACTGGTGGTTAGTCCCTCTAATTTATTTAATCCAAAGTGGAACAGTTTCAACAGGAGAGATTGAGGGAGACCCACACTGGAATATCTCATAGCCCAGTTCATGAGCATAGGGAGATCCCTTTTCAACTCCTATCGCTCTATCTGGTAGAGAGGGGACTTGGACTCAGATTTCCGGTATAGTGGTGAGTGCTCTAACCATGGGGTTAAAAGTTATAGGAGAGGCAATGTCTCCTGCTGCTGGATTTTGAATGGGCCTACGTCTGGTAGCTGTGCTCTGAGGACCCCTACCAGATAAGTGTCCCCCTGCCTATTGTCCCCAATCTTCACCTTGTTTGAGAATACTGCTGGGATTAGGTATGAGATAGGCATCTGGACGCCTACAGCAAGACATTAAATTTAGACCACTAAGGGATATTTGTGGAGATAATTTAGGCACCGACTGAGTTTAGGTGAGTACAGGGGCAGGCAGCAGATGCACACTGGTATTGTGGATCACAGTAGCAACTAAATCTGGGATTTAAGTGCCTAAATCTTGGGTTTAGGCACCTAAATCCCCTTGTGGATCTGGGCTTCTGGCCCCAGTCCTGCACTACGAATTGCATATGGGTCTCTGTGCCTGAAAATGTCAGTTGGTAATCTCCAACTGTCTGAATGATTCAAGGACATCCAAAATATTTGGATAATCAGAGTTTCAGATTAAACAAAATTTGACTAATTGGGGTATGAGAAGGGTTGGTCTTGATGTGGTAATTGCTTTTTGTTATGACTGTATAAACTGTGGGACTTATTTAACTTTTCATGCTCATACAAGGTACTGGATTGACAGCACTGAATGATTATTTGTTACTTCTCTTAAAACAAACTTAATAGTTTTCAAAGATTTCCTAAGATGAAATGTAAAGATCAAACTATATATATCTACCAGTTTGGAGGTTTAAAAGTGTATCAGGGCACATCTCTTTTCCATAATACAACAACAAAAGGATTATGTCTTGTCTTTTAGATTGTAAACTCTGGGATCATGGACTGTCGTTTAGTATGTGTTTGCATAGCACTTAGCACCCTGGGTCCAAGCCAGTTGTGGCCTTTAGGGCTACCACAGTATAAAGGTATTATAGTATATTATTATAAGCCATAATAATTAACAATTGATTCAATTAAAATGAATGGGAGCAAATTTAGAATTGATAAAAAGAAATACATAATGCACAATTAGCCTGTGGATCTAATTGCCACAAAATATCATTCAGATAAACCAAAAATCACACCACATCAGTTGATTATCTGAATTGTTAAGACTGTGTGAGCAACCCTCTGCTCCAACAGAAGCAGAGTACTGGCACCATGCCCCAAACTGAAGAGAGAACAGGGGAGGCTGGTCTATTGTTTCAGCTAAAAGGAGTCTGAGATTCTCCTCACCTCTTTATCCCCTGGGCTGGGGGAACCCCCTACCCTAGACTTCCCTCCTCCTCTGGCCAGCTGAAAGAATGGGGGGAAATCATGGACTGTAACTTGGCCACGAAGCCCTCAGGATGTTCAGCAAGTCCATCCCAAGACTCTGGGAGGCTGTTGAGCTGTGGCCTCCCCACTAGGCCTACTGGGCCCCAAATAAAGCCTGTTACAACAACTCATGTGCATAAAGTTACACACACATATGAGTGTTGGCAAGACCAGGGTCTCTGATGAGAAAAAAAATCCAGAGTTACAATAAAGATTTTTTTTTTTTTAAGTATGTTGGAAGAGATATAAACTCTAGGCTGAAGCTTTCCCTGTGGGCAGGGTCGACTCCAGGCACCAGCTTGCCAAGCAGGTGCTTGGGGTGGCCACTCCGGAGAGGGGCGGCACGTCCAGCTATTCGGCGGCAATTCGGCAGACGGTCCCTCACTCCCGCTCGGAGCGAAGGACCTCCCGCTGAATTGCTGCCGCAGATTGCGATCGTGGCTTTTTTTTTTTTTTTTTTTTTTTGCGCCGGTTGGGGTGGCAAAAACCCTGGAGCTGGCCCTGCCTGTGGGCAGATTATTTCATAATTACTCTTTTCAGGGTTTTTGTTGGTTTCACACCTTCTTCTGAAGCATGTGGTGGGGGACAGTGTCAGAGATAGAATACTGGAATAAATGGACCAATGGCTTGATCCATTATGTCAGTCCCTAGGTTCCCATGTTGAGTAAACTGCAGTAAAATTTTGAAAGTGGAAATTGTACATTAACAACTATATAAAAATCCTGTTGCCATGCTATCTAGAGTGGCTCACAACTGAGTGCCAATCTCATGTCAGATTCTCAGAAAACAGGGCAGACACCCCAAACCAGTGGTATATTCTATAATTAGATTTCACCAAGCCAGTAACAATTGTGTAATCCTGAATCACTATACCAGTCTTACCATGGAGTCACAAGCAGTCTCCTTAGGTACTCCAGCCTATTCTGCCACCCAGACAAATGGGATTTAGCGATAATAGTCACGTAAACCAAAATGCACACCAAAGCAGGTTACTCCCAATCCCAAAGGACAAGTCACTTACCACAGATCAATTGGTACTTTGGATCTCACACCAAAGACAATGCTGACAGCCAATTCTATAGTAAATTAACTATAGGTTTATTATCTAAGAGAAAGGAATGAGAGTTATTGAGAGGTTAAAGCAGGTAAAATATAATAACAGATGAGTCAAAGTTTGTAAGTCCAAAATGATAGAAGTTGATGTAATACACTGCTAGTTTCCCAAAAGTCTTTTCAGGGAACCCAGATGTTTCTAGGGATATCCACTTTGCATTTGGTATTTTCTCTGTAAGAATCCAAAGAGTCAGATATAAGGATTATTCCTTTAAATCAGTATTTATAGTTTCTGCTCACAGAAGGCAATCTGAACTGTGTCTTCACACACATGGGCCAGTGAATTTCCATTGTCGAACACAATGGCCCTTGCTTTTAAGTTAGCACTTTTACGCAGTAAAAATCATGGAAGACGGGTGAGATTCCAGAGGACTGGAAAAGGACAAATATCATGCCAATCTATAAAAAGGGAAATAAAACAACCCAAGAAATTACAGACCAGTCAGCCTAACTTCAGTACCCAGAAAGATAATGGAGCAAATAATTAAGCAATCAGTTGTTCACAGTCAAGCTGGAAGGGCATATCAAGTGTGATCCTGCAGGAATCAGTTTTGGGTCCGGTTCTGTTCAATATCTTCATCAAGGATTTAGATCATGGCATAGAGAGTACAATTATACAGTTTGTGGATGATACAAAGCTTGGAGGGATTGCAAGTGCTTTGGAGGGTAGAATTAAAATTCAAAGTGATCTGGACAAACTGGAGAAATGGTATGAAGTAAACAGGATGAAATTAAATAAGAACAAATGCAAAGTACTCCACTTAGGAAAGAACAATCAATTGCACGCATACAAAATGAGAAATGGTGTCCAGGAAAGAGTACTGCAGAAAGGGATCTGGAGCTTATAGTGGATCACAAGCTAAGTATGAATCAATAGTGTAGCGCATGCAAAAAATAAATGAACATTGTTATGGGTTGCATTAGCAGGAGTATTGTAAGCAAGACACGAGAAGTAGGCTAAACAAGCACCTGTCAGGGATGGTCTAGATAATACACAGTCCTGCCATGATTATAGGGGACTGGACTAGATGACCTCTCAAGGTCCCTTCCAGTCCTACGATTCTATGATTCTTCATTTACATTTCCAAGGCTCCAATCGTGCTTGATGGGTAATTTAATTACAGGGATATATGCAATGTAAAATAAATGCAATGTAAAAAGCAAACAACAATCCTTCATTAGTTTTCATGAAGTTTACACATCAAGCACATTCTCATATTAACACTCACACACACTTTTGGTCTAGGGCCATGGCTCTTAACATTTCCAGACTACTGTGCCCCTTTCAGGAGTCTGATTTGTCTTACGTATCCCCCAAGTTTCACCTTACTTAAAAACTACTTGCTTACAAAATCAGACATAAAGATACAAAAGTGTCACAGTACACTTTTACTGAAAATTTGCTTATTTTCATTTTTACCATATAATTATAAAATAAATCGATTGGAATATAAATATTGTACTTACATTTCAGTGTATAGCACACAGAGCAGTATAAACAAGTTGCCTCTATGAAATTTTAGTTTGTTCTGACGTCGCTAGTGCTTTTTAGGTTATTGTAAAACTAGGCAAACATCTAGATGAGTTGATGCACCCTGGAAAACCTCTGAGTACCCCTGTCTAAGAACCACTGATCTAGGGTTAACTAGTTACAGGGATATACATAATGTAATGTGATAACAATCAACAGGTTATAGATAAGTGAAGACAATACCATTAACATTTTATTTGAACTAAATTAACACACAAGTGAATTGACCTGATTATAATACAATACCTTTTGACACTCCTTTGATTTCATAGAATCATAGAATATCAGGGTTGGAAGGGACCTCAGGAGGTCATCTAGTCCAACCCCCTGCTCAAAGCAGGACCAATTCCCAACTAAATCATCCCAGCCAGGGTTTTCTCAAGCCTGACCTTAAAAACCTCTAAGGAAGGAGATTCTACCACCTCCCTAGGTAACCCATTCCAGTGCTTCACCACCCTCCTAGTGAAAAA